AAGACTGCCAGTACCCATACCATTACCCTTACGATGGATGGGCGAACATGGGCGAACACGGGCGGATAAGAACGGTGTGGGATGTGAGGTGAGCAGCGAGGTGGTGAGGTCTCACGTCGCACCGACTTGTGCCAAGACGACAACCGGGGTCTTGATGCTCGCTGCCACTGGCTTCCTTGCTCCTCCGCCCCCAGGGCAGTTCCCATCTGTGCCGTCAGTGCCGTAAGGAAGGCCATGCTAATTAAAGAGCCCAGTGGTCACCGTATAACGGCGAGGGGAGAGAAGACACGACCGAATCGCTGTCAGCTTGGCTCTCGTCGACGGTGGATGACAAGTGGATTTTCGGGGCATCCTTGGCAGCATCTCTCTCCTCCATCTAGGCTGCAGTGCTGCAGTACTAATTATACGGACCGGTGTTTTCTGTCGTCGAGAAGAAGAAGAGAGGAGAGGACGCGTGAACGGACGGCGTAAGACAGAGAGACAGAGAGACGGGGAGATTGTGACAGCGAGAGAGAATGGATGCCTTTCTCAGTCTCTCGCCAACGTCCTGTCTGCTCCCACATCTCGCCGGGCCCCTCCTGACTCCTCCATCAGCCCTGGTCGCTGCTAGCGCAATATGGCCGACCACCCTTGCCAGTGACAGCAAGGTACCCTCAAGTACTGCAAGTCGCTACCCGCACGACACCACCCCACGATGGTCTCAAGAGCTGTGATTCGCCGTCGTAGATTTTCTTTTGGCATTGACCAGAGGCTGGCTTGGCCAGAAAGCTGGACTGTGCGCCGACTCCCTGAGTCCTTGGGCTCAAGTCATGCGCGGCCATGTTGTATCGCGGAGACTCCACCTTGACTGCTTGAGACGAGGTGAGCAAGAAAAGTATTCTTATACGCTAACAAGAGTGAAAAAGTGAGAGACGACAGTCCGTTTCTCTGCAGGCTGGTCATGGTCAGTATGTATTGACGATGACGAGAACTACTCTGTAGAGGGGACCGGCGACTGACAGTCGATCACCAATTCGCACGACTCGTGAGTTGAAGAGGTCAGGCTAGCTAAGTGGCCGGTTTTTGAAATCACAATGGATCTATCCGTATTGCTCCTGCGCCTTGGACTGGTTCCGCTGGCGGAACGAGGGCATGGCAATCGGCCGACAGCCGCGATGAAGATGAAGAAAACTGACCGGGACGATGCGAGACAAACCTGACAAGGAGGGTGCATCATTGCCTGGGATCGCGTCGCGTTGTGTCAAGAAGAGTGGGGAGAAGGAGAGGAACTCGGAGATGGACATCGGGGGTTCCAGCAGTGAAGACTCAAGAGTCAAGAGTCCAAGGTCACTCCGTAGGCACGTAGGTACTGTGTAAGAGGCTAAAAGTAATAAGGGCACCTTCAACCTTGTCCTATGGTAAGCCGTAATGATCGTGCAGGAGTCAGGACCCAGCGAACGAGACGAGAGTCCAGGGAAGAGATGGGATCACGGTGGTTTGCTCCATTTCGGGCACAAAGCGAATTGAGCCAGCGTTGGTCGGTACTTGTCCATGGGCGTTGGGGCAGCGAAGCGTAGGAGAAGTCTCTGTACCATGATATCATGGTGGACTGTGAGACCGAAGGTCATGCTTCTGAGGCCTGTCACTGCATATGCAGGCGGCTGGATTTGGAAAGACGACGGGCTCTGGTCAGAGTCAACTGTCAAGGTGAAGAGACGGGGCGGGGTAGTCTATCGTCGTTTGGCGAATCAGCAAAGGGCTGGTGAGCGATGAGCGGCGTGACTGGCCGGTGCTGTGCGCGGAGCCATTTGTGGGTGGGGGTGGGGCCGTGGAACCGTGGGTGAGTGGGATCCATCATCGATGGCATGGTGTGTCGGAGTCTCTGAGGATCATGATGGATGGCATGGAGTCTGGAGATCCAGTCAGGGTCAGAGACACTGAGCATCTGTGGTCATGTCGGCCGAAATGCCGCGAAGGCAAGGCGAGCCGCAAAGAGCTGGGAAATACAGCGCCATCTCGACCGCCATTGCATGTACACCGATCCATCGCGTGGTCGTGAGCCAACCACGGCAAGGTCTAGGAAATAATTTAGTCAAGACAGGGCGTTGGAAGCGCCTCAGCTTCGCAGCTCAGCTCTGGTATAAAGCCTTTGGGCGGAGACAAGTCGCCGCCCAAAGAGAAGGGGAGTTGGGAGCGAGGGCGCCACGGGGTTTACAGCTGTTTGGGACACCAGTGGTGACTCGTGAGCCATCAAAGCTTGCGATGCAAGGCGATGTATCCGTATGGCGAAGTGAAGGAGAAGCGTGGACTCACAGAGTATCCATATGTATGTATGGGAGTACGGCTGGCTGAGATATAGGAGCTGGGGGGAAGGGGGTTCGCCTCAGATTGAAACCTGTCGGGAGTGTTGAGTTGTTCTGGTTGGTGCCATGGCGCCCTGTCACTGCAAGCAAGCTGCAATGCAGATGCGGCGCGCTGGGCCGGGCTACGTGGGAGGCGGGCACTGACTTGGAAGCTGGGGCTTCAACATGGTTAGGTTGGTGCTGCTTTGATGCTGTCGTCTTTAGTTTGAGTCTTTGGTGTTCGTCGTCGTCGTCTTGAATGTGGCTGCTCGTCGGCAACGAGACTGGGGTTCAGGTTCAGGATATGGGTACCTTGTGGCGTAGCCAGGGTGGATTTGCTGCGTATTGTCTTGGGTATATTCGTAAGGATCGAGTGGTGACAGTCACAGAGGCATGCTAGGTATTGCTCAGCAGTCTTGGACTCTTGGCCGGCGTCTCGCCTAGTTGGTGGTTTCTTGCCGGCGGAAAAGGATGGAGAAGGTCGGCACCTCATCGAATGACTGCGGGCCGCCAGGGTTCGGAGGCACGGAGGCACGGGGGCAGGCCGCACGTAGGCTGGACTCTATCCGTATGTATCCCTACTCTGTACGGATACTTCGTCGAGGGTGAGAGCCTGGACATTGGAACAGCGGGAGGATGTCGACATATGGGTGGAAAGACGACTCCATGTTTAATTAGGGCGATGATCTAGCGCGATGTTAGCCTGTTACTATTACTGTTAGTGGCTCCCCCGGTGCGTTCAAACTTCAAAATCCAATCTTGCAGGGCCTGGCATGCAGTGGGCACGACCCTGACTGTTGATGGGGGGCCCTGGAAGCTGGAGCATCAATCCATGCAACTCTCAGAGACTCATCGTCTGCGGGTGCGAAGTAGTGTAGGTAGTGTCCGTGGGGTGCCGAGGAGGAGTAGGGGATTGCAGCATGGTTTGGTGTTGATTCTACGGAATGAAATAAATGGAAGTTGAAAAACAGTTGCAATGTTCACAGCCGCAAATCCTCGGGCAATTGCAAAGACAAGCAAATGTCAGCCTGAGGGTTCCTTGTGTTCCATTCTCTTCCATTCAGGAAGGACTTGCCCAAAGTACCTTACCTTACACACCTCAGTACTAATGGAAGGTACCTTGTGGGAGTGGGAAAGGCAGGCACGATATCTGTAGGTGGTGGTGCACTGAGGTGGAAGGTACCTTGCTCTACCGTGTACCCGTACCTTCCACTTGGCACTGAGGACTGAGGTCAAGGTAAGGAAGGTAAGAGGTCCCTGGCATTTCGTGCGTCCCTTCCTCTTCCCGCCTGCCATCCTGCCACTATTAGGGTACCTTACTGAGGTGATCACCTGGTCCTTCCCATTGACTCTGAACTCTCACGTTGTTTCGTCTGTGCACTGTCCACGAAGCAGACATAGCTGTGCCATCCCGTCCGGGTTCCCACTTGAATCAGGATCTCTCCTTCCTCCAAGCTCAGCCTGTCCAGTCAGTGTCCGCACCTACCTTGTTCTAGCTAAGGTATCCGTAAACGTACCTTTGATCATATTTCAAGGAAAGAGGTAATACGGACTTGGTTCAAGCACTTGTGGAAAGTAGGAAAATCCGTGCGAGCTTGCAAAGTGGCATTACGTAAGGCAGTTTTAATCCATCCTTGTGACCCTTACCTGGACCTCTTGGCCTTCTTCAATAACAAAAGTATTCGTACCTTACGTGGATCTGCCTCGCCGGAGAAAACTCCGCGTTTTGTGCTAGACACTCCGAGTTCTCATGACCGGACGGGAAGACGACATTACGGACCTCTTGGCCAGCCCCATCCATCGGCGGTTGACCGAGACTCGGTGCAACAATCTACGAATACCCAGTACGAATACCTTACCTACAGAGACTTCGTGTCTATCTTGACCCGAGTCTGCACACAATCGAGGTCACAGCACGACACTCACACGGATATATGTGCCAAGGCTCGTCAAACTTCCCACACGATGCTACCAACGTCAAATGCGCCGAGATACCCATCTCAAACCCAAACAGAGAGACCGCATGGGTGTCGCTTCTCTACTAAAGTTTGAGCTTCTCTCGTGTCCCGTCGGTCATGGCCCTGATGCTAATGGAGTGTTAGCGACCATCTGCCGGTGCAACGCGAGCCTGCCCCCACGCCCGGCACATGGGACATGGGACTTGGGGGCCCCCGACCCTTTTTCTTTCGTATTGGGAATGATCGGACAAGTCGGAATCCCATACGACTACTCTGGAGTCTGGACCGATGATCTTTACAGAGTGCGGATACACACACCTAGCCGTACGTCGGAGTATTAGACTTGACTTTGCTCTGTCGTTCGCTTTATCTGGAAACGTGCTCGCCATCCTGGGCACGCTCACACGGCAAAGTGCGAGGCATCCGAATCGATAACCTAGGTCTCGTCTGTCCGTATTCGTACACTACAGCAGTCTGGTCTACTCTAGAGTCCATGGTGTCTCTGGCGATAGAGGGCAATATCATCCAACCACTGGATCACTCCGACGACCCCGTTCAGGAGGGCCGCGACATTTCAAGCCGACGATGTCCATGCCCTGGCTGTCTCGCATCCGCTATCGATCAACCAAATATCCGTGCCAGGGTAAGGCAGCACAAGGTTCGAGGCCATTGGTGCATCTCAATCCTACCCACCTACCCTGTTTGACGACTCAGGCCTTGTGGTTGCACCTCATCGCAATGCATCCCTTCGCTCTATTCCTCGGGGCTTGCGTCGGAAAAATATCTAACAAAGTTGGCTGCTTTGCGATGCCATGGCCCTTGGCCATTGAGAGGGCCACGGGGCTCAAAAGAAAAAGGCAGCATCACGTCACATCACCTCCGGAAGAGCGGACTGGAGAAACGCCCCCTCCTCTCGTCGCAGCTGCAATCAAAACCCTGACAACTTTCTTGCACGCGTCTTAAGTCGCGACAACACTCTAAGCAACCAGACGAATCCAGTAATCGTGACATCGTGAACGAGACGAGTGGCTAAGACATGCGTACGAATACAGTATGCACTTACACGCCGTCTTAGCTCCGGCTAAACTCGCTCAAGGAGGGCGGGCAACTTGGTCTTTCTCCCGGCCGGCCATACTGGGTAATCTGATAGAGGCATGTCTCGGATTGCCTAACTTGGTACCCCAGAGCCATGGGGCCCCTGGTTGGCCGAGGCTGACCCAGACGACCACCAGGCCAACCCAGTCAACAGTCTATCGTCTCGCCACTGACGCGGCCCATGTCCTTTCCGAGCAAGGCTTTCATAGGATGCTCGCCATGATACTGGACCTATTTACGCTTCGACCCTTTGCTGCTCAACCAACCCCGGTTTATCGTCACATATCACATACATGCGAGTACGACAACATCCGTGTCGTGAGGACGAGAACAAGTCAGCCTAACGGCATCAACGGCGCTGGTCCTGGGCAGAGGGCAGCCGATCACTATCCGAACATCGCCGAGATACTTCATCACTTGAACGTTGGGAGACTCTGCGACAGCCGAACTTGTTTAACTTGAGACGACAATAGAGGAGCAAATAAAGCGACGACGATAAAGGCGGAGAAGGGCGCCGCCCGAGCGCGAGGCTTGGCCCGTTGTCGGATCTGGCTACCTCCCGTCGCCTTTTGACTTTCGAGACGGTGCGTGCCGTCGACGGCTGGTCTCCACCGACATTGAATCATCATCAGTGCGCAATCGATGCCAATCGACCTTCTATACCCGCTTGTCCACCACCACCCTCGAGTCACCACCTTACTGTGTCAGTGTGGATGGACACATGTATCCGTACGCTGGGTATGGAGTATGGATCATGGTTACTGGTTGCTCTATGAATCTCGATACTGTGATCGTTCCCGTCTCCGGTGGTACCTGAGCAACGGTACGGATAATTCAAGGCCTTCCTGCAGGGCCTATGTGGGCGCAGATGATGCGGCGACTCGGCGAGGGGCTATTTATTTTGCAGCTAATCCACCCACATAGTTACCTACTTGATTGACATCTTGTGAGGCCTACTTCGTACGAATACCCAAGTTCCTCCGTGTCTCCACGCTCTTCGCTTGGCCTCTTTTATTCCACTTTCATGAGACCCGTCGGCCTACGTACAGGCTGCGAAAATGAATGCACAAGCCTCGAGGACTGCTCTCTAAGAATCGGCTCTCATTCCTACCATGGCCGGGCTTAGGCGAAGAAATCACTTCTCGAGTTCTCATACTCTTCGACGGGGCACTACTTTTACTTACGTCGACCCTAGATCCATGGCCAACAGCACCATTCCTTGCCCATGCCTGTCGAAATGGGGGGGAGAGAAGTCGATCTAGCTAAAATTGTCAGTAGCGGGGGAAAAGGAGCAGCGAAAAAGATACATGGCAATACTTTCCACCACACCCTCCGAGAGCCAGCCGCAACCCTCCACTCATTGGTGCGCATTCGACTCGTTTTGCGATTCACCTTCCTTGCCCTTGGCGGCTGTGGTTATGGGACTAAGGCTGTGGGGGGGGGGCCTTTTACCTCTGTGTCCTTGATGCCCGGCAGGCATCTTGCTCTGGTTCGTCCGCTGGCCCTTCGTGCGTCTCCATCCCCAACCGAAAGGGGTCCTCGTTAGAGAGCAACCTGAGACCATCCATGCCGCTGCAGACTCGGGGATTTTCGCAAGGGGGGCCAACAAGTGGATGTTTCATCAGAGACAGAGAGAGTCTTTGACGATTGCCTCACTTGCTCCCGCCGAGCTCCAGCCTGTTGCTAAGTCAAGCCTGAAGCGATTGCCAGATCATTTGATCAGACGCATCACCTCTGGATGTCGACTTAACACGATACAGTTCAGGCTGATGCCGGCAGCGGTGACGGGATCAAGTCAACAAGTTGCGGGAGATTGCCCACGGCCCCACGCTTGAAGCGTTTTGCGGCCAACAAGCTAGATGCCTGCGTGCCAGCATGTCCATGTCTCCGGAGTCCTCATGCACCGCGTCAGCTATGCTGTTGTGCTGCTGCTCGTCATCAACCCTCTCCCGTGCATTCAGTGTCCGTACGGATACCTCTTACGGATACAGATGGCTTGCGTGCTTGCGCAGTGGTTCATTTTACCCACAAGACTGGGGGCGATGCGCTTGCGGGAGCGAAAGGGATCTCAAGACGGCCAGTGCCTCAAAGTTCGGATGCGACATCACACCGCCAGATCGCGCGCACCACGTTCCTGGGCAAGCGTTCCGTCGGGGAGACGCCAATCTAGCGGCAAGACCGTCCGATCTATCTTGTTAGGGCTCGCGAGCTGCCGTCAAGACCGAGATTGAAACCAACCTCGAGCCAGGCCCAAACGCACAGAGTAGCAAACTTCTTTTGGTGCGAACCGGCCTTCTTCTCCAGCTGGCGCTGAATGACATCCTAGGGGCAGCAAAACCACACATTCGAATCCTGGCGGTCTAGACAAGGCTCCAGCTCTCTCATGGTCATCGCCGAGTAAACAGCCAACCCCGGACAATGAAATCTTGTTTCTTCCTACTTCTTACTTCCCACACTGCCAGCATTCAGACCGCGCCAGAGGCGATTCGCAGTCGCAAGGCGCAAGACGACAGGGATAGTTTTGAAGTCAGCTGGCCTCCCACAGAATGTAATTGATTGCCTGCTGGCCAACCACCTCCATCAACGCTCGACTGCTCGCATTCCAGTGTTCGACCTACATCGCACAGCCTTGTTAGATCGACAACTAGCGCACTTTTCTCGGACATAAAGAAACAGACGCAGGGCTCATTGTTGTCCAGGACTGAAAGGTGTTTCTGACGGCCGTCATCTTTTACAGGACTGACCCAGCGGGAAAAGGCGGTGTCCAACGTCCAAGCAGCCTAGACCCGGGAACCCAAACACGTCGACGTATTGTAGGGAACATGCCAATTCCAGCTCTTTGGGGAAGGGGAGTTCCTTGCATCTGACAGCGCCTCGACCACGTCTACCCCGCCAAAGCTCACCAACCTGTCATGACATTAACGTCCAACTACGCTCCAGACCACCTTACTATGTGCCGCAACACGGTCTTCGGCCATTGTTTTTGTCATTGAAACATTCAGAGAAGTACGGTGAGGGCCTCATATTTGTTTCTCCAGAGTTCCACCTTTGGGCAGAGACAGGCAAGCCCGAGCACGCCTCTTCGCCACTAACCTTGTCTAGGTCAGATCTAGCTCGTTCGCGAGGGTGGTGTCTACGCAAACTAGTCATCCGTAAGTTCCCAGGTGCCTAAATCTGGTTCGGAACCTGGCCTCACCGCATCGCTGCCCGTCATCATTACCAGTATATTTGTCTTTAGTGACATGCAGAAACATTCTTCGAGAGGAGTGGCTGGAAGTCCTCGTTTCCGTAGTGGATTTCTGCCCAGATATCTCGCCTCGCCCCGTCTGAATCTCGCAGCATACGGAGATCTCCCGCAGTCTACAGGATCTAATCGGAATGACCGACATCTGGGTATCCACCAGCTTCTCGCCTCTCAAATCTTTGGTCGACTGACCTCACAGGACGATGAACGATGCCCGATACCAGTGTGTGTCAGATGGAACCGCCCAGTACCACCCCTGCAGATGAACCAGTTCTTCAGCGCGCCATTCCAGGCGTTCCATTTATCATGTCACTTTCCACTAGCAATGCCTCTCCCATTAGCGGGATTAAACTAGTTAACGGATCACGGACGATCAAGCAGCGACGGAGACCCAGAGACACAATCCATTGGCTTTGATAGACAACCACACGACCAAGCAGCGGCCAGCCCATGATCAAGCGCTCCCTCCTCCTTCAGCTTCCCGGTTTTCAAGGCTGCCAGCTAGTCCGAGGTCCGACATGTGAGACCCAAAGACTGATGACCACCGGGGTTATCTGTCTAGGACAGAGGTGTAAGTGAGAGGGTATGGATATCTTGGTTATCTTTGCCTAAATATAGAGGTGTGCTCAAGTATGTAGGTGTCGCTTGCTCTTCATCGTAATTCAGGGGGGCGGTGCAAAACCAGTGTCTTTTCTACGAGTGCTTTGAGACACATGGTTCAATCAGAGTTCAGTGGTTCGAGCTGAAGCAGTTCATTTTTTTGGCGCCTGATACGCGGTTCGGATGACTCGACAAGCTCTTAAAATCTTGTTTCCCTTTTGGGAGAGGCGAGTTGTGGTGATTTGATATCTGCATCCATGATTCTCGTTCTCGTGTAAGACCAGACCCCGTAACGTTACCCTGCGCATGGCTCGTTGCAGGCGCGAAAACCCCGAGACAGTAATCTGAAAGGTTGTCTTTGCTCGGATCTTGCCAAGTGTGGGTTTTGGATGCACAGACAAAAGTATCCAGAGTGCGGGCTCGGCGTGATATTTTGCTTTTCGAGTAAGGAGTAGTGAGATGCTTGATTGTCTTGACTTTTTATTTTTTTATTTTTTTGTGGCGTTTCGGGACAATGCCTCAACAAATTCCCATTTCTCAACCTATGAATTACCTCTTGCTATTGTTCATTTAAAGAATTTTGTGTGACCCATGTTTGGATACCTCAATTCATCTGCCGTCTTTGTTGGCCCAATGGGAGAGAGTTCAATGGAGCTAGGAGGTGATTGATATGTTGCTTCCACTACATGACGCACAGTCAACGGCCCGAGAGTAGTCGTGTAGCACTACAGTATACTGTGTTCATGGTTCTTGTGCTATGTCGTCTATCCCATTAACTGCTTAGTAGATGGCATCAGTATATCCGTCTCCGGTCTTTCTCTAATTTTGCTCCACCACGAGATTATCCATAGGCAGATAGAAGGGAAATAGAGTCGGATTAATCTATGATTCATTATACCTATCATAAAAGTACGTACACATGTATTAACGCCATCTAGCAATTGATGGGATACTCGGCGTAAGGCCAAAGGCTTGTCTCCTAGGATTTGTTTGAACTGTTCTACATGGCTGATGGTCTGAAAGGACGGGTTAGGATAATCGAAAAGTTGCAAGAGATAGATAGCGCATTCTGTCCTTGACTGCAGATAGACTGACTTGATATCAATCGGCTTGATGTCTTTTCTTCCAATATAGACGCCAAATTCTTGGGTAATGTTGTTGCAAGTTGATTTATACAAAGAACTTTCAGGGGTAAAGTGCTGAAGAACTTGACTTCTGTCGTTACACTTTACACAGAGGACTTTCAACGGCATACTTGATAGACTCTTGTCTGACGTCTTGCTGAGTTTTCAAATCGCATATTGTATCCCTTGATACATCTTGCATTCCGCAAGTTCATCTTTGACATCTCCTTGTTTGTGACCTCATGATTCCAAGACATCTACTATTCATCAAATTGATAGGATCTACTGTTGAAAAGTTCCTTGGAAACGCTGTGGCATCCTCTAGTCAGGCATGGACGTGTCGGTTTTCCTCGTGTTTCTTTGGATCACTGCACGAAAAGCTTCAAGACATTCTCTGATGGATCAAAGGAGCGAGAAATACGAAAGTATGCGAGCTGAATAAGCCTGGGCTTGAATGTTCTGAAGATGTATACGAGGGATGATCATCAGTTCACGGTAAAGAGAGATCAGAAGTATTTTGCAAAGATATAGCTTCCGTCGAACAGTCTGGGTAAGATACTCTAGGTAGTGAGTGACTGCACGATGCACTTTACTCGTGTATCTGTTCAGTGTCCCGGCGGAGCGAGTTGATCTAGAGTTTTCGGGACAGACACACAGAACTCCGCCTTCTCATAATATTATATAAAGGCGAATTTTCCTCCTAAAAATGAACCTGGTCCTGGATCGACAGACTCCGCAAAAAGCTTCAACCTGCCTCGAGTAGAAGGGCATGATATTCAGATACAGACATATAACATTGGCACCATGACATTGTAATTTTTGGGGCACGGCAACGTGCAAGTCGAAAGAGACCGAGGTCGGAACTTACGGAATAAGTAGTTTGACCATGTGAAATTACTCTAGTCTGAAGATAACCTTGCGTCTGGATGCTGCATTGGGCTTCTAGCACTGGCCACACTTTGAGAGTAGACATGGGCTGACCGCGGTTGTGTCAAATAATCCATGACGGAGAAAATCGTGCAATGAGTCTGAGGGCAGTACTGGTCCCTGTAAGGAATTCACACCGTCAATTGTATCTTCTGGTTGGAACTTGATGGGCCTGTAGCCATCGAGTCACAGTAGTCGATCGGTGATACATCCGTCAGGGTGAAGAAAATGGCACACATGCAGCAGCGTGTGAGGCGCAAACTTGATGCATACCACGAGAGTATGGACTATTTCATTTTACATCATTCAAGAACCGCAGTTCTCAATTTTGCGACTACCCTCCCTGAGCTACAAATTCCATGCCAGATTCACCTTCGTCATTCCCTTCGTCCACAGAAATAGGTGTACATCAAGGCTCAAGCAAACTCAGCCTCATCAATGTTCCTCAAAAAGATGGTGTACCACTTGACGAGGTTAACGTGGCCCAAGACGCTCGTCTTCTCATCGACGGTGTGAACACCCGCCCACTCGTCGCTCTCGGGATCATATCCGGGAAGGAAGCGGAAGATATGCTGGGTGAGGTCCCAGTAGTACCGGGTATCCGTGTTACCCGTCATAATCCCCGGCGACACAACAATCTCCTCGCCGTACAAGGCGCGCGTGGTGCCCGACAGGATCCCATACGGCGTCACGCCCTCCACCGACGTCGGCGTCACGGGCGCGGGCTCGAGCACCTTGTCGTTGCCCTTGAGCGTGATGCTCGACGGCGTCTCGGCCTCGTCGTCAAAGGCGTGGAGGGTGAGGTTATACTTGTCCGCGACGGGGCGGACAATGGCGGCGAGCTTCTCCTGCACGCTGGCCGTCTTGTCGCCGACGTTGACGCGGTGGTTGACGACGGCACGGACGCGCTCTGGCAGCGCGTTGATCTTGACGCCGCCTTCGATGATGTCGGTCGCCACGGAGGTGGTGAAGAGGTACTTTACCTGCGGGCCCGCTTTGGCGGCCTCCTTGGCGAGGCGGTCCGTCTTCTTCTTGCACATCTGCTTGCTGGTGTCGGCGGGGAGAAGTCTGCGTAGGTTGTCGGGGAACTCTGGCGCGTACGAGGCGCCGCACTGGAGCTTCTCGAGGTACGGGTTACCGGAGATGAGCTCGGGCTTGTACAGGTTCGCCTCGATGTGCGTGATGAGCTCCGAGAGGATGCCGATGCCGGTGTGCTCGGGCGGGATGGAGCTGTGGCCGCCGGGCGTGCGGACAATGACCTCGACGTCGATGTAGCCCTTCTCGGCCGTGCCGGGGATGGCAAACGTCTGGCCCCACTGGGAGTCGAAACCGGACCCTTCGTCGACGATGATGGCGGCACCGTCTTTGCCGTAGCGCTCCAGCAGGAACGGCGCAAGGTGTCCCGCGCCGCGCTCGCCGGAGACTTCCTCGTCGAAGCCAAAGGACAGGATGGCGGTGCGCTTGGGGGCGAAGCCGGCGTCGATGAGCAGCTCGACGGACTCGAGGATGCCGATGAGGGAGTTCTTGCAGTCCATGGCGCCGCGGCCCCAGACGTAGGTCCCGTCGTAGGCGCCGCTCCAGGGCGGGTGCGTCCAGCTGTCGATGGTGGTGGGCGCCACGGGGACGGTGTCCTGGTGGGCCATGAGGACGGTGG